GCGTGCGCCGGTGGACCTCCAGGTGGTTCTTCCTTTTGAAGGACTTGCCGCAGGTCTCGCAGGTGAACTCACGCACACCTGCGGACAGGGCGGGGCGACGCGGCTGAGGGGCTGTGGAGGGGGCACTGGGGTCGCCGGGACGCGGCTCTACCCAACTCCCCATCTCCCACAGGGCTCCGGCTGCCCATGTTGCTAAGGTTGGGCAATACAAAGTGGGCGCTCAACTTCCCAGCCATGCCAACCAACCAGAGCTGGGATTCGAACTTGGATACGAAGGACCTGGATAGGAATGGGCTGGAATTTGTTCTCAAGGTTTGCACTTGGGGGTGATTTACTATGAAAATCCAAGTTACTCTGGAGGCTGAGACCTGAGGATCCCCGTCTGAAGCCTGCCCTGGCAGGAAAGTCCGTGAAACTCTTATTTCCAAAGAATCATCAAAAAGTCCTCTTTTTGGGGGGGGGCGGTCATGGGCTTGAACTCTGGGCCCGGACGCTGTCCCTCAGCTCTTCAGCTCAAGGCCAGCACTTTACCCCTTGAGCCACAGCACCACTTCTGGTTTTTGGGTGCTTCACTGGAGAGTCTCACGGGGACTTTTCTGCTCCAACTGGCTTCAAACTGTGATCCTCAGATCTCAGCCTCCTGAGTAGCTAGGATTATAGGCGTGAGCCACTGGTGCCCAGCTTCTTTCTCGTTTTAGATACAGGGTCATGCTCAGTGGCCGAGGCTGGTCTCTAATTCTTGGTCTTCCTGTCTCAGCCTCCACTGTGCTGGGATGAAGAGACGCGGCCCTGCCTGCTGCAGCCCTGGCTCCCAGGCCCCCGCCCTGGTCCCTGGCTGGCAGCTGGGCCTGACCTGAGTGGATGATCATGTGCCGCCGCAGGTGATTGGATAGGTAGAACTTCTTGCCGCAGCCAGGGTGAGGACACACTTTGGTCTTCCCTTTCCGGTGCACAAGGTTGACATGGTTCTGGGGTGAGAGGGGCAGGAGGAGGTGGGTGCTGCGCCCAGTGGGAGGGGCTCGGGAAGGTGGGGGAGATGAGGGCAGCTGGGACTCAGGCTGGAGGAGGGGAGGCTCCCTGGGCTACTGAGCAAGGTATCTGGAACAGCTTTTTTTTGGTCTGTGGTAGGTCTTACACTCTGGGCCTGGGCGCTGCCCCTCAGCTCTCAGCTCAAGGTGAGCGCTCTACCACTTGGGCCACAGCGCCACTTCTGGTTTTCTGAGTAGTTTATTGGAGATGAGTCTCACTGACTTTCCTGCCTGGGCTGGCTTTGAACCTCGATCGTCAGATCTCAGCCTCCTGAGCAGCTAGGATGACAGGTGGGAGCCACGGGCCCTGGCCCAGGCAGGAGTAGCTTTCACAAGTCCCTACTGCAGGTCGGGTGTAGGCTGGCACACAGTAGGCATTCAATAGTGGCTTGGTGAAAATATGGCTTGGCACACTCAAAGGCCTACTGTGCTGGCTTCTGTGCCAGGCCTGGGCACAGGTCTGTCTCTGCCCTGGGGTGTGGGGTCCAGGGTAGAGGGCAAGCCACGGGCCTGAGGTCCTGGTGCTGGACGGCGCTTTCTGGGAGTGTGTGGACACGGGTCAGAGATGTCCTGCAAGACGGCGGCTTGACAAGATGCTGGGGGTGACGTGGGTTCATGGGCACAGACCGGGGGCCAGCCCTGCCCCGGGGTGGGGGTGGGGTTCACGGAAACAGACTTGGGGCCAGCCCTGCCCCGGGGTGGGGGGGGGTTCACGGGCACAGACCCGGGGCCAGCCCTGCCCGGGGGTGACGTGGGTTCATGGGCACAGACCCGGGGCCAGCCCTGCCCCGGGGGTGGGGGGGTGGGGGGGGAGCCTCACCTGGAAGCTGCTGAGGGCCACGTAGACCTGGCTGCAGCCCTCGTAGGGGCAGTGGAACATCTCCAGCAGGCCGTCCGCATCCGTCACGCGAGCGCGCTTGCTCCGCCGCCGCCTGGGAGAGGAAGGGCCCCCACCCCGAGCTGTGCGGCCATCGAACCCCCGGGGCAGGCTCGGGGCTCGCAGGGAGCTCCTGGCCCGTGCCCCAACCCGGCCATCCCGGCACCCACTTCTCCGGTTCCTTGGGGATCTCGTAGATGATGGCTGACATGGCCCCGCCGCCGTCCAGCTCCTCCCCGTCCGCCTCGGCCTCTGCGCTCTCGGGCACCGTGGCCGCCAGCTCCGCCAGCCCCGGGGCTGCCAGCTCCTCCTTCTCCCTCTTGAGCAGGTACAGGTCCTCCTTCTCTAGGGGGTGGACACAGGGTGGGTGTCGGTGGGGGCCCCAGCCATGCCGGGTCCTCCCCGATCCCTGCCCCGAGGCCGCCATGGGGGGGTGGGCGCACCCCCAGACCTTTCTTGGCCTCGATGCTGCTGGCTATGGCGGTGGCGTCCAGGGTGCTGGGCTGGCTGCCCTCGGGCTCCGTCTGGGTGTAGGCGGCCACCCCCTCCATCATGGCACAGGGCAGCTCCTCGCCGAGGCCGCCGCTGGGGGTGCCGCTCCCCGCGGCCACATTGAGGTGAATGCCCTCAGCCGTGAGGGCGTCATAGCCGGGGCTGGCGATGATAATGACCTGCGAGCCGGGCACCATGCCGGGCACGGGGCAGCTGGCCACCACCTCGCCCAGCGCCTCTTGGGGTACATTCTCAAAGAGGGTGCTGGGGCCGGCGCCCACCTGCACGGGCACGGGCACGCACACCACGGTCTCCAAGGCTTCGGGGCCGCTGCCCGCGGGGTTGGGGCCCAGCGGGGCGCCCTGCTCCGCCAGGCTCTCCACGTGGTGCACGCCGAAGGGGATGTGCACGCCGTCGGGTGTGATGAGCCCGCTGCTGCTCACCGGGCTGGTGGGGGTCACGGCTGCCGCCACCGCCGCCGTTCTCACAGGCTGGGCCTCCGGGGCGTCCTCAGAGTCCGAGCCTGAGCCTGAGCTGGACGAGGGGGAGCTGCTGGCCCCCACACCATTGCCCACTGCAGGGAAGACAATAAAGGGGGCCGTGACCATAGTGGCCGTGGCCACTGGGGTTTCTTGGAATTGGACACTGTAGCCGGGGGCTGGTGGCTCACGCCTGTCATCCTAGCTACTCAGGAGGCTGAGATCTGAGGATTGAGGGTCAAGGCCAGCCCAGGCAGGAAAGTCCACGAGACTCTTTTCTCCAATAAACCATCAGAAAACCGGAAGTGGCGCTGTGGCTCAAGTGGTAGAGCGCTAGCCTTGAGCTGAAGAGCTGAGGGACAGCGCCCAGGCCCAGAGTTCAAGACTACGACTGACAAAAAGAAAAAAAATGACATTTGTAATCCCAGCTACACAGAAGGCTGAGATCTGGAGGATTGCAGTTCAAAGGCAGCCCAGGTAGAAGAGTCTTTGAGACTGTCTCCAATGAACCAGCAAAATGCCAGCTTGGAAGCTTGGCTTGAGAGGCAGAGTGCCAGCCTTGGGCTAGAAAGCTAACGGACAGTGGCCAGGTCCCCGAGTTCAAGTCCCAGTACTGGCATACACCTAATGGGTTTAGGCAGCACCCCTATTCCAGCCGGGTGGCTGCACGAGGGCTAGTGCTGGCTGAGGCCAGGGCTGGGGGGGAGGGGGGCTGGGGCAGCCCTGGAGTGAGGCCCGGTGGGGGATGTGACAGGTGGGGGAGGGCGGGGCACTGCATGCTGCCGGGAGCCTGGCCCATGCGCAGTGGGGCGGCTGTGGGCGTGGGGGCCCACCAGGGACACCTCTCGCCCACGGCTTCCCCTCGGCCAGCTGGGACGCCACCTGCTCCGTGTTGCCTGCCAGCGCAGCCCCGCCCTGGTGGCTGACCCCACCCGGGCCTGGCAGTGAGCCCTACACCCTCTGGGCCACACCACACCCCGGAGGCAGCAGGGGGGCCCTCGCCCCACTCCATGGGGGTCTGGGGCGCCCCTGGGCCAGGTGGGTCCTCCCCAGAGTCCCTCCTTGGCCCTCAGTGGGCAGTCAGCCCAGGGCGAGCCTCGGGAGGGGGAGGGGCAGGGAGGAGGAGGAGGGGAAGGAAGGAGTCGGAGACAGCCAGGGAGGAGGAGGAAACGGAGATGGAGGGAGGGAACCGGCCAAGCGTGGTGGCTTATGCTGCCATCCTGGCCGTGCAAAGCGGACGCTGCGAGCACCTGTGGCCAGCCCGGACAGAAAAGCTAGCTTGACGCCCCTCAGCTCTACCAGTGGGCCGGGCGGGGGTGGGCTGCCCGTCATCCCCGCCAGCCAGGCAGGCAGGAGGACCACGGTCTGAGGCTGCACGAGGTGAAAAAGTGAAAGAAGAACACACAAAAACGAGCTAGGAGCACGATGGCAGGAGCAGAGCCCCTGCTCCGCAAGCTGGAGGCCCTCGGCTCCAGCCCCAGTGCAGCCCAATAAAAGGCGTAGAGCGCAGGAAGGCCGAGCCTCCCGCCGGCCTCCGCCCAGCACCGCAGCGCCAGCCGCCAGCCCCTCAAGGCCTCAGGTCGCTGTCCCTAAAGCCTGGCTGTGGTCCTCACCCACGGAGCCCCGCCCCTCCCCGTCCTCCC